AGGGCTATGACGGCGTGCGCTGTGGGATCCAGCTGTTACAGACGTTTTCGGGTTCAGGTTCGGGCTCACACGGGCTGGACGATCACTCACACACTCACACCCTGCAGCTCGCTCTGGTCATCATCGCCGTCGTCCTGTCAGTCATCAGCTGCGCCGCCATCATCATCATCATCATGGTCCAGTACGTACTGTAGAACTGCTCTGGTTCTCCGGTGTAGATCAATGAATATGGTTTATCTATTGACCGATATGAATAAACTCTCATTGTTGTTATGGTTACCTGTGCAGGTATAAAGCTCAGCACAGTTTCCAGGCTGCGTTCCTGAGCTCGAGCTCTGAGAGGGAGAAGCTGCAAAAGAGTCCGGCCATCTGAGGATCAGCGCCACCTGCTGCACCACAAACATTCACCCTGATTTATTACAGCGCCGTAGATTATCACTGTAGGTTCAGCCACGAGGACCCGCCGCAGGGCTCTGTTTCCATGGTGATTCTGATTGGTGCAGTGAGCGAGTGTGGAGTCGGATCTCCATCACGTCTTCAGTAGATCTGGTAGAAGAGAAGTGACGGTGTGGGTAAACGCCCGCACTCCCCCAAACTCAGCATAGTGCCACTGTTTAACGAGCGATTCATCATCAACGGAAACAGATCAGCGTGAAGTTCATTCGTTAAACATTGTTTATTTATTTATTTTATTTATTTATTTGCCCAGCGTAATGTTCAGTTTTGTTTGTTTGCTCTGAATTGTGGCCCATAAGAAAATTCAGCATTAATTTGGTACATGTTACACAACGCAAACAGGCGTAATGAACAAATAAACATTCCTGTTAACGAACCGATGAGCAGGTCGGACAGCAGAGCGACCAGCCGGGCAGTGAGAGACGTTTCTGACCGGTCCACCTTAAACCTAAACTGACCTTTTTATCTCTCTAGTTCGTGTGAGGTCGCGGGAGTTCGGGGTGCTGAAGTGTATAAATGTACCTGTAAGTGAACGTAACGTACTCAGTGATGTCGTACAACGTGACTGGACGTCTTTATTAATATGATTTTTTAATGGACTTCAAACAAAACGTGTCGGGCTCCTGAGTGGCCATTCAAAGCCGCTTTTCCTGTGCATGGTGCCGGCTCGACTCGACCCGACTCCTGACTCGACTTTCCTTTCTGGTTCTTCATTCGGCAAATCCGGTTCTGTTTTTGGTATCACCTCCGTTGAGGTTCCAAGCGAGCTGAGCTGATACCTAAAGGTGATGTAAATGCTGCCGACTGCTGATTGGTCAAAGAGAATCGCTAAAGATTTATGCTAACCTTAGCTGCCAGGTTAGCGCAGCCTCTTGTGTCGCCTTTGAGCTCCAGAATCGTCTCGACATCTGAGCTCTGATGTGGTTTCTCCCCAAACTCTCCTGTTTTTGTCAGCTGTCTTGTGTCTCGCTGCCTCTTCTGAACACAATTTGTCTCCTTTACATCACAGCAGTTTCATATGGCGTTGCTATGACGACCAGCTACACTGAGGGGGCACTATATCTGCAGTGGGAAATGAAGTAGCTGGTGGAAGCGAGTCGAGTTGAGCCGTGCCATGCAGTGGAAAAGCGTCTCGAGTCCTGGTCCTGGAGATTCACCTTCCAGAGTTTAGTTCCAACCTGTATCCAGTAAGCGGCTCTGCCCCCTTACTGGACTGTAATGGATCTGATCCAGCCAATCAGGGACTTGGGATGAGGTTGATTAGCTGCTGCAGGTGTGGCAGACAGAGATTAAAACTAGGCTCTACTAGGCAGATCTCCAGGATCAGGGCTGGAGACCAGTGAGCTCAGTGTTTCTGTATCAGCAGGAAGTTCAGTCCACAGTGATGCCACAGCCATCCGTAATCAGGAGTCCCACAGATTATAACTGTCTCTCTCTCTCTCTCTCTCTCTCTCTCTCTCTCTCTCTCTCTCTCTCCCCCATCCCCCGCCTCTCTCTCTCTCCCACCCACCCTCTCTCTCTCTCTCTCTCTCTCTCTCTCTTTCTTTTTCTTTCTCTTTCTCTCTCTCTCCTTCTCTCTCTCTTTCTCTTTTTCTCTCTCTCTCCTTCTCTCTCTGTCTCTCTCTCTCTCTCTCTTCGTCTTTCTCTCTCCCTCTCTCTCTCTCTGTCTCGCTCAGTGTGATGCTGGCCAACACAGGCGTCTGTTAGCTGATATAACAGCATTAGCAGTTAGTGCTCTCCTCCAGGTGTGTTGAGCTCCAGTGGCGCTGTGGTGTTCAGCACACCGAGCTGAGACACGACCGATGATAAATACATCGTATTCATCACATGGATGTCACAGTTGGTCTTTTAGGTTTTGAAAACAATATTAGGCTGTTTTAAACTCCAGAACTGGCCGAAAAATACAGAAATACAGATTTAAACCAATTTACAGCGTTAAGTTTACTGCAGCTTAATACATGCACAGCTAAAACACACAAACCATGAAACCCTCACAGGCTACTCACTTACCCACCCCACGCCCTGCCCCACCCCCCCCGCCCCAACCCCGCCCCAACCCCGCCACGACCCCGCCCCGACCCTGTGTGCCTCTGCTAACGTTAAACACAATTCGTCAAATCATTTGACCTACAGAGCTGCTCTCTCTCTCCGTACACAGCAAAATACACTGTAAAACACGATGATTTACACCTCAGACACGCTCATTATAATATCATTAATATTCATGATCATCAATGAAACAGAACTGAACACTCTGCAGTCTTTATTCAGATAAAACTGTATTTATTGAAGTATTTATAAAGTTGACAATAAAAGTTTAAAGAGCAGAATGACGGCCGTATGTGTGTCGTGTGTGTTGTTTGTGTTGTGTGTGATGTCACTGTGAACAGGTGTGTTAACACAGTGCACACCTGAGGGGTGATTTTATACAGTGGTGCTTGAAAGTTTGTGAACCCTTTAAAATTTTCTCCATTTCTGCATAAATTTGACCCAGAACGTCAACAGATTTTCACACAAGTCCTAATAGTAGATAAAGAGAACCAGATTAAACTAATGAGACACAAATATTAGACTGGGTCATTTATTTATTGAGGAAGACGATCCAATATTACAGATCTGTGAGTGGAAAAGTGGTCCGTATCTGGTTAGACCCCCTCATGCAGCACTAACTGTAGCTAAATGTTTCCAGAGACTGTTGATGAGTTCTGCACAGCGGTTCGGTGGAGTTTTAACCCCTCCGTACAAAACAGCTTCAGCTCTGTCATGTCGGTGGGTTTCCTCCCATGAACTGCTGCTTCAGGTCCTTCCAGAGCCTGTCTACAGGATTAAGATCAGGACTTCGACTCATTCCAGAACACTAGCTTGTGTGTTTAGGGTCGTCGTCTCGCTGAATGACCCACGAGTTCCAGCTCACAGACAGACGTCCTGACATCTTCCTTCAGAATCTGCTGGTATAATTCACACCAGTTCTAAAGGGTTTAGTTCAGTTTAGTTTAGTTTATTTACAAAATCCTGACTCAGAATCCAAAGACTGAACTTTGCAGAACGTAGAATTTACACTACAAAGCTTTTACAGTAATAAATATATATAATGTACACACAGATACAGACACGCCGCACTGCAGTGGGTTAACCAGCCTGATCCACATGGAAAAGTGGAGTTTCTCAGTCTTTCGGTTCTCCCGAGCACAGACAGCTGGGAGACGCTGGGTTCTCTCTCCCTTACTGAGTGAGGAGGTCATGTGGAGGACGACGGGGCTGATAAACGTCTTTTATCGTAGAGGAATCTTATGAAGCCGTGTGATGATTCTGACTCTTTTCTGAATTCTGTCCATATCTGCTCACTGTTTCTCTGCGAAGCCCACCAGCAGCCCACTCCCACCCTCCCGGCCTAATGAGGGGCTTGAACACTTCAACTAGATCTTCAACAGGAACCTGGTTTCTTACCGAGACAGTGAGGAAATGCAGCTGCTTAGAACCTTTTTTCACTGTTCCTTCAGTATGAGAACCTCCACTGAGTTTACTGTCCAGGTAAAAGCCCAGATAGTGTGTCTCAGTCCCAACAGGGACAGTCTGTCCACCTCCGACTAAAGGGGGGAGCTGAGGAGGACAAAAGGTCAGCTGGGGTTTTGAGAACAAGGAAAATAAATAACAACAAAAATGGAGACGTAAGGTTTCATCCCAACAGTGATGACGTGATTTTTTTAAATATTTTGAAAATAAAGTCATTTAACCTTTTAATGTCCGTGTGTTAGAAGCTACATTTGACCCCTGTGGGAAACGTTCTGAGCCCATCAGACCGAGTTCTAATCACTGAACTCATCATCAGATTCAGTCTTCTGGTCACAGAACTGCAGAAATCCAGATGTGATTGTGAATAACAGTGAGAGCTGAGTGTCATTAAAACACTGTGCTGCCAGATGTTTGTCCAGAGTAACTGTAAAAACACTGTGCAGACACTCAGACACAGCTGAACTCACTGAGCTGCTCTGGAGGACAAGAGTGGATTAACACATCACAGCAATAAAGCAGCTCAGCGTGTCTGAAACTTCACAGCAGCCGCTCCTCTCGCTCACTTCAGTTCAGCGAGGCTCAGCAGGGGGCGCCACTCACAACTCTGGATTCTTCAAAATCTCCCCCCATAACTCAGTGTGTGAGATGCAGAGAGGTTCAGAGTGGTTTGGTGTGAAATGGTTCAGATGTCTTTACAGTGGTGGTGATAGGAACCAGGGGTCGCCATGACTACAACACAGATATAGACATTTTATTTACTATCCAGAACCACCAGTGAACCTACACGAGTCTTCTGAGTTTATATGGAATGTTGATGATGGAAAATAGTGGAAAATCTGAAATAATAAGTTTTCTTTGGGGACTATTTTGCCTCACAGCGCCCTGCATGTATCCCTCCACCATGAATGGAGTTTAAGTTCTCTAAACTATCATAAAACAGTGTCTCAGTCATCAGGCAGTGAATTCATAACCATTTACTGTAGTAACTTTCTGTGAGGGAGCTTTTAGAGGGGGACGTCTGGTTCCTATCACCACCACTGTGAACTGTTCAAGTTTATCTAGAACGGAGCGTTTCACACCAAACCACTCCGAATAACTTTAATCTCAACTGCTTAATTTTGCAGAAAATTTTGAAAATTCGGCGGACTTGCCCTTTAACTAATAATTCTAATAATAAATATTTATTCATGATTAAATATGTATTTTACTGCTTCCACATGTTATGTAACACAAATATGTAACACATGTAAATATGTAATAATTGAAAGATTATTAATATTAATATCGATTATCTGTGTTTTACGGTAACGTTAGCTGCTGCTCACGCTGCGCTGTGCTGATTGGCTGAGCGCCTCTCCGCCTGCACGCGCTGCTGGCAGACACTTCCGGCTCCGCAGGAGCGGGTGAGAGATGAAGCAGAGCTCCGGTTCGGTTTAATTCAGTTTAGTTGGGTTTAATTGGGTTTAACTGGGTTTGATTGAGGTGAATTATGACGCTGGGCGGTTCGTGCTGAGAGTGAAGGAGCTCCGCGGACACAGAGGTGAGTCCGGGTCTGTTTACCGCGGCGGAGACGCGCTGAGCCGGAATACCGTTACAGACTGAGGCGCTTTAAGGGGAGCTTATCGGTAAACAACGTCACATTCGCGTTACAGCGGCGTTACAGCGGCTCTGCTCCTGTTTACAGCGTTTAGAACCACCTCTCCCACCATATGAGCCAGAATATAACTGCTGCACCATTTAAGGTGGAACGGACGAATTCGAACGGGGACTGACTGCGCCATTTAAGGTGGAACGGACGAATTCGAACGGGGACTGACTGCGCCATTTAAGGTGGAACGGACGAATGCGAACAGGGGACTGACTTAAGTCTCGTGAGGTTTGTAATCGTATTAAAACTGTGTCTGAGGTTGTGGCTAAATATAGAAGCTCTTCTGTTTCTGATAAACTCGTGTAACGGAGGGCAGCAGGGAATTCGAGACATTTGGAGCCCTAAAATAACTCTGCAAAGGGCGCAAAGAGCACAGGGGCGAACACGGGGCTCGCTAGAAAGGGTTCACTAAGGAGGGTGGAGACCACTTAGAAGTTATGTTCAGTGTGGAGGGAACGTCGTAGGGTACTAGAATGTTTACTAGTGAGGGCACTTCATAGTACTCACTAAAGAGCGGGCTCTACAAGTAGTGTAGGGCTCTAAAGTGGAGTTCAGTATGAGAGGGATAACATAGGGCTCTAGAGTGGAGTTCGGTATGAGAGGGACAATGTAGGGTTCTAGAGTGTTCAGTATGAGAGCGATAACATAGGGCTCTAGAGTGGAGTTCGGTATGAGAGGGACAATGTAGGGCTCTAGAATGGAGGGCAGTGTGAAGGGGACAGTGTAGGGCTCTAGAGTGGAGTTCAGTATGAGAGGGATGGTGTAGGGCTCTAGAATGGAGTTTGGTATGAGAGGGACAATGTAGGGCTCTAGAATGGAGGTCAGCATTAGAGGAACAATGTAGCGCTCTACAGAATGTAGTACAGAATGAAGGTGATGGTGTTGCGCTCTAGAGTGGATTTCAGAATGAAGGTGATGGTGTTGCGCTCTAGAGTGGAGTTCGGTGTAGGGCTCTAGAGTGGAGTTTAGAATGAAGGTGATGGCGTAGGGCTCTAGAATGGAGTTCAGTGTGAAGTTTACGGTGTAGGGTTTAGAGTGGAGTTCAGTATGAGAGGGATGGTGTAGGGCTCTAGAATGGAGTTCGGTATGAGAGGGACAATGTAGGGCTCTAGAATGGAGGTCAGCATTAGAGGAACAATGTAGCGCTCTACAGAATGTAGTACAGAATGAAGGTGATGGTGTTGCGCTCTAGAGTGGATTTCAGAATGAAGGTGATGGTGTTGCGCTCTAGAGTGGAGTTCGGTGTAGGGCTCTAGAGTGGAGTTTAGAATGAAGGTGATGGTGTAGGGCTCTAGAATGGAGTTCAGTGTGAAGTTTACGGTGTAGGGTTCTAGAGTGGAGTTCGGTATGAGAGGGACAATGTAGGGCTCTAGAGTGTTCAGTATGAGAGGGATAACATAGGGCTCTAGAGTGGAGTTCGGTATGAGAGGGACAATGTAGGGCTCTAGAATGGAGGTCAGTGTGAAGGGGACAGTGTAGGGCTCTAGAGTGGAGTTCAGTATGAGAGGAATGGTGTAGGGCTCTAGAATGGAGTTCGGTATGAGAGGGACAATGTAGGGCTCTAGAATGGAGGTCAGCATTAGAGGAACAATGTAGGGCTCTACATAATGTAGTACAGAATGAAGGTGATGGTGTTGCGCTCTAGAGTGGATTTCAGAATGAAGGTGATGGTGTTGCGCTCTAGAGTGGAGTTCGGTGTAGGGCTCTAGAGCGGAGTTCAGTGTGAAGTATATGGTGTAGAGTTCTAGAGCGGAGTTTAGAATGAAGGTGATGGTGTAGGGCTCTAGAGTGGAGTTTAGAATGAAGGTGATGGTGTAGGGCTCTAGAGCGGAGTTCAGTGTGAAGTTTACGGTGTAGGGTTCTAGAGTGGAGTTTAGAATGAA